GCAGGAATTTAGCATCTTAGCTCTGAAATGAAGAAGTCGGGGTTGGGAAGTTAGTGTCACAGTTGCTATCCATAAAATCTGTTAAACCAGCCTTCTTCCAAGTGTTACTGTAATTACAAAACATTAATATTATATTCCCATGTACAAGCACCTTTAAATAGAAACATATAACCAAAACTAAAGCTACACAGGAATTAATGCATCAAAAAAACAGAACAGGATGGGCATGATTATCTTATCGGCATATACAGAGAGTGTATTAGCCAGCTATAGCCTCTGCTCCCCAGACTGTGCTTGTCTGCGACTGTCCCGCCCACATACACACATCACTGCTTATTACTGCAAGAAGATCTCCTTTGTGTTTTTAATTAAGTATAAAAATTTTCAGAAAAAGCACTGCCTGCCCTTTCTTTTTTCGTTTTCTGTGAAAAAAAATTTAAATGCATTTGGTAACTTCTGTTTAAACTGCTACTGAAAGAAGACACAGCACACAGAGTAAGAGGTGGTTAAAATAGATTGCTCCTGTCCCAAATGTTCATCCATCAATTACCATATCTACCCAGTTACCATTTTACTACTTCACTTCCTACCAAGTCTTTTCAAGCCTCTGAAGTGACAACCAGTGAAACTGGCTGTTTAATGTAAGAATTACTTCAGTAAAAATAATTTTACTGTACAAAAAAACCATGGAAGAAACAGAATGAGAACAATAACAAAAAAAAAAAAAAAGGAACAGAAGAGCGACCTCAAAGATAGCACTTTAAGGAGGAAAATGGAAGGCAGGCAAAGGAGAAAGAGCCAGGATTCTCATTAGAGATCTTAGATGTCTTTTGATTCAAGTTTGCAAAAACCCTACTGTTGCCATGCCAGATTAAACATAAAACAATAGCAGAGAAAAGGTTCTCTCTCTTGTTCTGTTAGGCTGTTAAATGGTGTTTGACATACAGAGTCTATTTTCTTGTTTCTTTTTAGTGAGGTCATTCCAGAAGTGCATGCTAGAGGTTCTGTTTAATCAGTATAATGATTTTTAAAAGCCTCTTCAGTTTGCCAAGCCAAAATCCATACCACAATACCTGTGCAATTGCTTTATTGTTTTGGTAATGTGGAATCAAAAAATTGCTAGCTGAAATTCCTCTTTGCCTCACAGAACTAATGCTGCATCATAGTACAAATTACTTCCAAGAAAAGCAGTTGACCACTCCGACATAACAGATACAAGTGACTTAAACATCTAAACATGTAAAGTTTTGATGGATAGTTACTATAAGTACAGTTTACTATGTAATTTTAAGAAACACACTTTGTTTTCTCTCTTGTGCAGTTCAGATCAAAAATCAGATGGGACAACACTTTTTTAGTAAAATGATGTACTTTTAGTCTGGTATACACAATACTGTGTTTGAACTTCTTGTTAAGTGAGCCATCAGATGACTCAATTAAAGCTTACCTAAATAGCTTCTGTTTAAAATGCCAGCAATTTACTAAAAATAATATATTAGAAGTTTGTGAAATGTTTATGCTGCAAAAAATAATATTCCAAAGCCAACTATAAGTAAGAGTTTCTTGAATAGAAGCCAGGAAAAATAGCTATTGCATTTTAAATATCTACAGAAACAATGGATCAAGAGAAGCAGGTGTTTTTTGCCACTCTGACGTTTAAAGTTCCTTATTCAAAATTACAAAACTAATCTATGCTTATTAGTAAAAAAGATGCAATAGCAGGAAAGCTTGGACTTTGCATACCAAAGGAACTGATAACTACTACACAGCTGACACTAACTGGATTGTAAAACCTCACTGACAGACTCTCTGCAAACACCCATTTAACTACAATGACATCTTAGTGAGCTCAGAGATGACCAAGTGTAAACTAGTCAACAGTTGAACTTAGCCTACAAATATTTAAATGTCTTGAGATGCCTTTCCCTTCAGACATTTGAGGTTTTTATGAAGCAATTACCCCTTTCTTACAGAAAACGTGTCAGGCATACTTTTAGTGGCTAACATAGTGGAGTGAAAGAATGCCATTTATGGCAGAAAGCCTTTTCTGTTTCTCAATATAAAAGCAGCTCATGTTCTTTAGGTATCTTTGTGATGTACTAACTGATCTCAGTAAAATTATATTGATACATTAAATAAATACACTTACTTAAAATGAGAAAAAGTCTGCCAAGAAGTTTTCAGGACTCTTGTAAAAAGTTTTTAAAGTGTAATACAAGATTTTTGCCAATGACGGATGCATCCATGGTTATGAACTAATTGAAACTGCTAGAAAGAGCATTTCTTTAAATATGAGGGCTGAGCAGTCAGAAGCTATGCAACAAAATTACATTTTAAAAGTTAGTTACGGTCTTTGACTTGAAATTCTTTCCATGTCCATGCAATCTAACATGCAATAACTGCATACTTTGACTAATAGAAAAGATGGAGAGCTACCACAAATGTGTAGATGGTCATTTAAAGACCCCTATTTAGGTTACCTACCAGCTGAACCTTTTAAAAGGTTTTCTCTGCATAAGCTCACTAAGTAAAGTTGAGTTCTCAGAACATTCTTTTATCTGAGCACAAGGCTGAAGATCACAACTGTTCTTCCATGCCAAACATCCAGTCAGGATGCAAACTCTACATAGTAATGTTCCATGAAGAGCAGATGGATGTCCAAGTGCCAGCTCTCATGATCTTGGTTATGATAATAAACCTTAGGCAAATATGAGTGCCCTATTAACTTTCAAAACTTTCTGTCATGGGAATGATGCAGTATTTCTGTAGCTTTTCTTAATATTCTAAACCTCTCCTCTTTCTAAATACATGTGGATAGCCAATATGGAAGCAGTCATAAATCCAAGAGCTGTTAAAAAAGAAAGTAAAACATGTATCTGTTCTAATGGAAGCATCACTTGAGACATGGATTGAAACTTAATTTTAAGAAGACAAATTATTAAGCTGGTCAAAATCAAAAGGCAGCTATTTCATTATTAAGAAAACTCCAAGGTATGCAAACATTAATAACTTGCACTGCAATTAAGCTAACAGACAATGTCATAGCTATGATAAATGCTGATGGAGAAAAAAATAAGAAAACATTCTCATGCATTTAAGAGAGGTTGTCTATGGACCACCAATAAATTGGCTTTGTATATCTCATAAAATGGTAACATTTTAGTAATTTTATAAGAAAGAGGCTTTTGGAAGGACTATATTCTGTTCTATGTTTTCTTCCCACACAACAAGCAGAAATCACTATCAACACTAGCAAGACACAGGCATTGCATGACTTCACTGCAAACGTTTGAAAACAGTTTCTAGTCAGACACTTGATGGATCTAATTCAGGACATCATACTTCAACTAACAGAAAAAAATAACATGGTTTCTGGAACAGCAAACCTTGCAAACAGTCATGGTCCTAAAACACAAGCATTCAGTGATTTAGGTTCTTTTGGTTTGCTCTTTCTGACTTCTGAGTCAGGAAGTCAGGTCTGATCAGTATTAAGTAGCTTTGTCATCCATTACGTAGAAGGAATGAACACTTGCCTTTACTATAATAAGGTCATCAGCACAGATGTGACTGATTCTTTGCAGAATGGAAGAACAGCATAAAGATCAATTCTCCAATTAAAACAGAAATCTCTCCAAAACAGACAATACTTCGTTTATCCTACAAATCAACTTCCAACTTTCTTTATTAAAAAAGATACCTGTTTCAGAATAATTTCAGCTACTTTAGTCCTTTAGATAAGCTTGCAAACTTCTGTTGCCCTCTTTTGCTAAAAATGAATAGTGCAAAATGAAAGTTTGCCACTATGCACACAAAGTTATTGCTTCCCTTCACCCCTAGATCGACCAAAGCCAGTTCCGATTTTTTTTTTTTTCTGAATTTTTATGGGAATGTCTGCAGTGGACCAGTAGAAGTATATTTCCCTAGTACATCCAAGGTCTGCACCTCAGCCAGGAAGTGCAGTATGAGGTCACTAATTCATTCTATTGAAGAGTTCCAGTCTGCCCTTAAAAGTGCGACTTGTTAAAACTGGTATATTCTATCAACCTTAAAACTTCTCATCCTGTCCAATTCCCAAACATGTCTCCTGCTCTTCTCCTGCCTACACACTTTGCCTGAGTGATGCTACCCCAAGTCTCCTGCCTTCTGTCTTGTTCTGCTTTTACTTGAGGATCAACATTAAAGAGTATGAAAATATGTCAGAATATAAAGCATTTACTCCCAGATGTTTTTAAGATCATCTAAACTATTATTAGTAATTACAAGATGCCTAAAATGAAATTAAATTTATAATTACTTTGTCTAATAAAAGTCCTGGGTAACAATTTATTGAGAAAACTGTCAAAACCTCAACTTCATTATTTCCTGGTATGCTACTTACTAAATTTAGAAAGAACTCTTGCTTTTTTAACCTCATTCTATCAACACTTCTATCAACAAGAAATTCAGGTATTCCAATAACACATAACTTATGGAAATTAATCATGACAAGCAGAAGTTACCTGGAAAAAATATAACTTATTGACATGCCTCCTGAAAAGTTACACAAATACAAAAAACCCTCCACGCTTAATTCTCTTCTGACCTTACCCAGTGGATGCCGGTGCCTGAAGAAGAGCACAGAGAATGCAGAGATTTTTATCCCTTCTTTACATAGCACCATATAAGAAAGTAAGTGCTTACTCTGTTTAATAAATCAATTTCTTCCTTCAGCTTTCCAATTAGTTCCTCTTTGTCCTGTGTCATCTTCATTAATCTTGCATTTTCCTGTCTCTCCTTTGCAAGTTCCTAAAACCAGAATACGCAATGAAGTTTGAAACGTAATTTTTTTGGTTTGAAGAGACAGTTTTACGCTATTACCATTTAAAACAAACACAAAAAACACAGACACACTTACCTATAATTCCTTTTCTACATGTCAAACCCACATCTTCAAGCCGTTACATTTCAAGGAGTTAAAGAATCATGTCAATGGAAATATTTTACCTGCAGCAAAGTTGTGTGATATCTCTGATTCCAGAGATAATGTTTTAATTAATATTTAACTTAAGCATGAACTCAAAATTGGATAAGGGCCCAAATGAGAAGTAAGCACATGTAAAGTATCAGCTTCCAAATTTGTTATACTGGGAGGGTTAGTCCTTTTGCTTGGTTGTTTTTGGTGATCTTTTTTTACTACTACCATTAATAAGGAATTAAGACTCACTGTTAGATCTGTAGGCCTGAATGTAAGGAAAAAATGAAACGTCCATTAGGAATTCAGTAAATCCGGGTTCAGGATACAGAAGGAAAGCCCTTAAATCTTCTATTTTCTGTGCTACTGGCAGTTAAATTATTTCAGAAGGAAGTTGGTTTGGAAGGGAGGATTACAGTGTACTTCACTCAAATCAGGCTTCCCAAAGTCTTAACAAAAAAAAAAAGTAATTTCTAAACAATATGCTTTATTTTGATCCTTTCCAAAAAAGATCTATTCAAATTGTGTTTACTTGGTAACTTTCATCCATACAAATTCAAGAATATTTGGCAAGTTACCCACTTCAGAGGAAGACAGAGAAGCCAGTAACAGATTGCACAGATGACATTATTCAGTAAAAATACAATTTTAGGTGAAAAACTCACCTTTCATATTATCATATTTTCCTAAAATGGTTTGTATGAAGAATGCCTAAATAATGAAAACTTTGTTTAAAATATGTATTTTAAATGTTTAAAACTTTAACAAGTAACTAAAAAGCAATTAAACTTTGTAATATTTCAGCACATTAAAAAATCCAAACCAAGAAGTGAATCAGAAACAGGCTTGCTAATTTTATGAACAGGCAGTGAGTCCCTCCCTCCCCCAAGTCATTTGCCCTGTGTTGGTGTGTCACGAGATACACAGGAGAAATACGCAGAGCACTGCTGGCTCTCTATTATCTTTACCTCAACTATTTCTCACTTATATACCAAATGAAAACTAAACATCTGTGATTAGAAAGTTCACATTCTTCTCAGGCAGTCCAACTCTTTATACATTTTTATATACATAATGATCTGTACTTCAAGCATTTAACACAATTTCTATGTATTTTCTTGTAAATTTCCCCACAGAGTTTCAAAGGTACTTTCTTTCAGATGGACACCATGCAGATGTTAGTTGCTACTTACCCTTTCAAGTTCCTCAATCCTCTTTTCCAAAGCGTTAGTTGGTACAGAACTGCCAGAAGAATTTGCATCCCTGCTGTATCTGCTGTAAATTGTCCTGTCTGTTCGGGAATATCTATTTGGAGCATCATCTTCTGGTGCATTAGCTGTGCTACAAAGGCAAAGAGCAAGGCAGATACCTATTTATATATTTAACAAAATAGAAATGATAGAAGTAACAAGAAGTGCTTTCTAAAGCACTCAATAGGTCAGTCTAATGAACTGCAGAGAACTTATTTCACAGTTCTTGTGTTGTTGAGAACTCACTAAATTCACTGTTTCAGGGAGTCAAATACTTGGATAATGCAGCTCTCATCACGTAGGTAAGTCAACTTTAAACACATCCTATCTTATTTTTAAAGATTTAAAAGTTTTAGGAACTGTGCACATTAAAAAACAAGCTAAACAACTCTATTTCAAAAAGTGAAGTAATGAAGTTTAAACCAAGCATCTTTTTAAGTAGATGAAAACATAAAAGATGAAAAACAAATACATGTCTGAAACGTAAGAAGCTTACACATATCAACTGACTTTTCAGGAACTACGGATATGGCCTGTAAGGAACTGGAAAGCAAACCAAAGCGAGAAAGTGATGGGACCAACATATTAATTCTACGCCATTTCCAAATATTTTACTTCAGAACCGGGATACACAGCAGTTTGTCCTAGCTCAGTTGGTAGGCACTCATTAACTGGTGATATGGTTTTTGCTTTAGATCATGTGCCTATTCCGTAAAAATCACTGCAAAGGAATCTTAACAGATAAGCATTGCAAATGCACATAAGCTATTTTTAAAAAACGTTATGTGTTCTCCATCGTGATTGCTATGTACAAAAACAGTACTATTTTAAAAATACATGTATTACAAGACAAGCATTTTCAAAATCATAAATTTAACACTGTTCTTCCCGTAGCTATTTTCTTCCTAACAGCAATGTTACTTACCTTCAATGTAGAGTCTAATGAACAGAACAGAGCAGAACAGAGCAGAACAGAGTGCTCTGGGACCAGGCAGAGAGATACAGATCTTTCCCTCTTTAATCCACCAAAACCACACTTCTTTGACTTTGAAAATATACAGCTAAACAGCCAAACACACACACACAAACCTCCCCCCCGCCCCGGTTCTGCCTTCACCGGGAGAACTTGAATGGAGACAGCCAAAAGCCATCTGGACATGGTCCTGGGCCACTGGCTCTAGGTGGCTCTGCTTGAGCAGAGGGGTTGGACAAGATGTCCTCCAGAGGTCCCTTCCAACCTCAACCAGTCTGTGATTCTGTGAAATCACACAACTGAAATTTGCATCCAATGGCTTTCTACAGCACTTAGGAAAAGAATGAAAAGCACTAGGAGTATCCCTACAACAGTTCCTTTAAAACATAGGAGAGTATATGATTAATGTGTTCATTTAACAGTGCTGCATTTCATAACTCTGGAAAACCCCTGCTGACAATGTGCAAATCTAGATGGATACAGTGCAAATCAAAAGCAGGAGTATCTGGCAAAAGGATGTCTTTTCATGGATATAAATATTGTTTTGCTGCAGTATGTGTGAAGTTTCCAAGGCACACTGACACAATTGTAAGGAATTTCGTAGCTTAATGTTATTACCATATTTAGAACTGTTTATTCTTCATCTAGAAGATTTTTTTAAAAAAACATTTCTAGGACCGGATACGCATGTTGCAACACAACATAAGAGAAATATTTTAGCTTAACTCTATAAATTCTAGATTATTTAGCTTTCTGAGAGATGTGTTGTTTTTGCGCCATTAATCAGGATGGACCACATAAAAAAGGCTCCATTTTTCATCACTCAAAAATGAACCCTTTTGACAATATACTGGAGTAATCTCAGTTCAGCTCCAGTGAGTGATCTTGGCAGATGCTAATACAGGAAAGTCAGAAGAAAGTACCTCGACTGGAAGGGTTTCACCAATACTGAAAATTAAGACATGTCTGTTTTTTCCCTGAAACAAACACTCAAAAATTTCCTCACTTATTCCATTGGGAAGCAGACCCTACTGAACCCATTCCTTTTCAGTATCAGCAAGCACAAAGGCCATATCATGAAGACTTCTAGGAAATGGAATTTAAAAAAACATTTAAGGAGACATCAGTCCATAACCTAACACAAGGAGTGTGAAAGATACAAAGTTCATTATTTTGGCTCCTAACCAATGTCCAGTACACAGCAACAGCAAAAAAGGTACAGTCTGAGACAGGGTAGACATATCTTTCACAAAGAATAGAATTTTAGTCTTCAGATATAATATTAACTTACAAGGCTTAAACAAGAATGAAAATTTACCTAGAATAACAATATCACTTAACTTGGTATCTATGTTTTACTGAGAGTTAAAAACCTATCAACCAGCCCCAATGAAGATATCTCTATGGAAACAAACCTGTATAACTTTTATATATATATATATATA